TAACGTATGAGTAACAAAATGTCCATAAAATGCTTTATAAACTTTTGGGTGCTATATAAATACCAGTTATTATTATTATCATTACATTTCTTTCCCTCACTGCCTTCCTTCCCTCTGAGATGACTTTTCCTCTATTCTGTCTACATCTTAAATGTACACAGTTATTTACATGTTGTCTCCCATTAAGAATGTAAACTCCTTGAGGGCATAGACAGTATATTTGCCTTTCTTGTTTTCCCAGGACTTAGCACAGTGTAAGTGCTAGCACACAGTAAGTGCCTAATGCTTGTTGACTGACCAGCTGATTATGAGTTTAACCCACCTTCCAGAATTCCCTTTGTTGAGTTGAATCTTTGACCAGGTGGGATTTCCATGACTTGAATGTCAGTAGACTTGTGGCCATCACAGCCCAACTCTCAGTTGTTCCTTGGAGTGTTTTCTGGGTTCCTGGATTTTGTTACACTAATGATCATAGATCATGACACACATGAGCCCAGGGGCCTCGCTTCTAGGCCACACTCAGTCATAGTGGAACTGTATGTCTGCCTTTAAGCTTCAGGGGTCTTTATTATCTCTTGGTTATCTTTGGCTTCCTCATCTGTAAGATCAGAAGAGTTGGGCTGGATGACCCTTCAAGCTTTCAATTGCTATGTCTCTGTGGCTCAAGGGGCAGATTGCAACAAAGAGACTAATGGTTATTGGGGGCTGTGAGGGAGTGCCCATGTTTTGGGGATTAGTTTATCTTTCAGCACCTTGTCTTATTTTCAACTGTTATCAAGACACTGGAGGATGACATATATCAGGCCCTACCCTACCCTCATGCCAACCATAGCTTTTTATATGTGATTTCATTAGTGTAGTGGATGCCTAGAGAGGCAGGCTGTCCACTTTTCTGTAGGGCAAAGAGTACAAGATTTGGAATCTAAGGACCCCTGTTAGAACCCTATCTTCACTACTTAGGCAAATCTCTTCACCTCAGTGGGCCTCAGTTTCCTTGCCTGTAAAATGGGTGGGTTGGACTCTATACTTTCTAAGCTCCCTCCCCCCCCCACATCAATGAATCCGAGGAGGAAACTCCTTCCATCAATGCAGAAAAGCAGCTCATCTGTGGCTTATTTTTAAGGGTTGCCCAGGATGTGGAGAAGTTAATGACTTATCCATGGTCAGAGGCAGGACTTGCACTCAAGTTTTCTTTCCTTCACAGATGGCCCCTTATACACTATGTCACATGGCCTCTCAACCAGGACTGTGCTGGAGCTGAATGGGACCGACTCCAGCAGGATTGTTAAATTTTCTGTGTAAGGGTTTACACCTCAGAGACTGGCAAAGGCTACAAATTGCCTATCAACTTGATTTATTGTTTTGTTGATTTTCTTCACTTAAGAAACTGTTAATAGTACAGATTAAACTAAGAAGTGTGTCCTGCCTACTCCCCTCCACCCCCCACCCCCAAGCTGGTTGTTAAACTTTTTTCAGCACATCTCTGCTCTCAACCCAAATTAAATCATTTAAATGTTTAAATGTGACTTACCTAAACATTTAAATCATTTAAGTGTTTAGCTCTGCTAAGTGACAATGGGTCATTCCAGAGTCTTGGTGCCAATGAATTTTAGGTTCCCATAGTGACAATTAAGAAGCCAGTGTTCTGTCCATTTTGAGTGCCCAAGGCAGAAATAGTACCCTGGTTGTAATTTACTCTGTACCTCACTCCCATTATTAGATGTATGTGACAAGTGGCAGGCCCAGAAGGGTAATATGGGTAACAGGAAAGAGGTAAAATATTTGGCAACTGTTGTAGTGAGAAGGAAACTGTTTTTTCCCTCCCATTTTTCAATATTCTGAGGGTAGATACCAATTTCACTCAATTTTTAATTTTTTTCTTTTAATTTCTTTGTTTTGTCACCCAGAAAAATAAAAAGGCTTCTTAAGGGCAGGGGACTATATCATCTTTTTCTTTGCATCTTCCATAGTGCCTAGGAGAGGGGACCTTGAATACAGTAAGTGGTCAGCTCTCTGACTGTATAAGATGCAGAATAATTGCTGAGCTGAATTGATAGAGAATTTCCTATGCTACTGGATGAAGTCACAAGTCCAGACCAAAACGACAACACTAACTAAAACAATTGTTATGCGTCTATCATTGTGAACATCAATGATTACCCTGCGCTTTGTTTAGAAAGTGTGGGTCACGGAGCTGAATGTTAGGTTGACTTTAGGAGACACCTGGGAACTTTTGTAAAAACCATAAATATCAGTTTGCTTTCTTGTCATTTGCCTGATATCATTCAGAGAGAGAATAAACCTTAGAGCTTACCTCTTCAAACCCTCTCATTTTACAGACAATAAAACTGAGGTTCAAAGAACTGAATGACTTGCCATTAGCAAAGGCTGGCTTCAAACTGAGGTCCTTGCTTTCCCCCCTGTACATGCTACTTCTGTATCATAAAAATGAGCGTAGAACATGCAGCTGTAAGGCTTCCTGATCGGTGTAGTATGGCTTCCTTTCTATAAAATGAAGGATTGAATTTCAGGCTGAAGCCACCTTCTAGATTGTTTTCTTACTTTCCAGAAATTTTCCTTGCCTTTCTCAGGATCTTTTGAATTTTCAGTGACATTCACTACAGTATTTCCAAATAATTAACACAACAGATCACTTCCAATCCAACCCAACAAACATTTATTGAGCATTTCTATATGAAGGCACATCTATTATGTGTGAGGCAGCTGGGTGGTTCTGTGGATAGAGTGCTCAAATTGGAACCAGGAAGATGAGTTCAAATCCTGCCTCAGACACTTATTAGCTATATGACTTTCCGTAAGTCATTGTTTCAGCCTCAGTTTTCTTATCTGTAAGTTGGGGATAATATTAGCAACTACCTCACAGGATTGTTGTGAGGATCAAATGAGATAATGTATGTGAAGCACTTTGCAAACCTCAAAGTGCTATATAAATCCTAGTTGTTGTTACTATGTTGATGATGTTGGGGGATACAAAGACAAAAAAAAACTCAAAACATGTTCTTTGACTTCAAGGAGTTTGCATTCAATTGGGAAGTTACAACTTATGAACAGATCAATATATACATAAGATTTTGAGGCAAGAGAGTACTAACAAATAGATGGATCAAGAAAGGCTTCTTCAGAAAGAAGGAGTGCATTCTAGGCATGGGGGACATCCTGTGCCAAGTCATGGAGGTGGGAGATGGAATGACAAGTTTAAGTCACAGCAAGTAGACTAGTTTGGCCAGGCTGTAGAGTATATGAAAGGGAATGATTGGAAATAAAGCTGAAAAAGGTACACTAGAGGCAGGTTGCAAAGGGATTTAAATGCCAAGTAGAAGTTTGTATTTTATACTAAAAGAAATAGACACTGAAAGTTCTTGAGCAGAGTGACATGGTCACATGTACTTAAGGAAGATTATTTTGGCAACCTTGTGGAGTTTGGATCAGGAAGAGAAGAAGAGATGCTGGGAATCCATTTCTGCTTCTGTTAGCTTTCACACTCCCTTCTATCTTAAAGTGTTTGTTAATGAATCAGGAAAGAATATACTTCATCACTTAAAGGGTTTATTTTTTTTTTCAAACCTTGCTCCAAAACGAGTTTCCTTCATGATTTGAAAGATTTGTATTTGGTATATTTTCTCTTCAAGGCCTTAATTCAAAGCTACCATATTTTATTATCATCGTTATCAGAAGACATTCTACAAATATAGCTTCAGGCCAAAACTATCAACAAGCTCCTTGTTATCTTTGAATTTTTAGCAGAATTCTATGCAGAAGAAACATTTAAAATGACATCTTTTGGTAGGCTGCCAAAGCATACTGTTCACTGGCATAGTCTTTCAGAACCCAGGGTCTCAATGAGGCTTTGGGGCAGGCCTTTTGAGGAGGGCAAAGATATTGCCAGACACATCCCACTTCTTCAAGGTGATGTTCTGAGTTGTCTAACAATGCTATTCTTGGGTAAGTCTGGAGTTTCTGCAGAAGTTCAGGCATACAAAAAATAGGTTGGAACTAGTTAGAAAAGGTTGTCCATTTCTGCATAGTCTTTGCAAGCTGCAGGTAAGTATGACACTTTTGAAAGGTCTATGATGATAAAAACAATTTTCAAGACACCCAAGATTTTATTTCATGGGATCCTGCAGCATGAATGCATTGGAGAACAGTCAAATTGTCCTTATTCTGCTTTAATAGCCAGCACCCATCAGACTACAACTGGGTGACTAGGCCCAAGGGATCAGTTTCATCATTATAGTCAGGGGATAAATTGTGCTCAGAAATGAGGCTCTTGAAAATCAAGATATTTTGCAGCTTCTTGGTTTGCTGACTGTGTATGTTCAGAAAGGAGGTTTTGACATTTCAAAGTGAGATATAGCATTAGAATACGCGCTAGAGTAGATTTCTAAAAGTCAGTCAGTGGTATTTGCTTATGAAATCTTGTGCTTTGTCAGTGAGCATCATTCCAGACTTTTGTACTGACTGATCTTTAAGTTGAGAACCACTTATAAAATATAGACTGGGTCAGGGCTTGGCAAATTCTGATCCCCTAGCAATTTCATCATGGCATCCTAGCATTTTAGGTGCAATCTTGCCTGAAATACAGTTCTACAATGCTAGAAAACAAGATTTTCTCCTAAGAACTTTGAACATTTTCCAGGCCATCTGATCTTCATTAGGATCCACTATACATAGTTGACTCTTATTATTGATTGTGTAAAGGTAAACCGTCAGTCAGCAAACTTTATTAAGGCCATATTCTATACCAAGTGCCAAGCGAGGGATGCAAAGAGAGGCAAAAATACTGTTCCTGATCTCAAGAAACAAACATTCTAATGGGAATGATCACAAGTAATCTGTAAAATCCCACCAGAAATTTGGAAGAGGTGAATTCCAGACGAATTAACATTTTGTCTTCTTTACCCTCCAGCACCAAGAAAATCTCTACTGTTTATCTGGAAAGGCCGCGAAGAGCAGGCACGCAGTCTAGGGGTGCTGCTGCCATGGAGGAAAGAACTAGAAGGGCTCCATTGTATAGTCAGGACCCAGCCCCTACTCCTACTGCTGGCCAGGGCTTCAACTTTTATCACATGGATCTCTATGACTCTGAAGACAGATTGAAAATCTTTCCAGAAGAAAAAATTCGAATGAGAGGAGAAATAGCAAAAGAACCGAAGAGAGGTGAGAGGGCCCCAGAGTTAGGTTTGGCCACCTATGATGTCCAAAAGGAAGTAGAAGAACTAGCACAGTACTATGGCCTTGAAGATGATAAAGACCTGGAGGGTGATATTGAGGTAGGGAGTGTGCTTCGGTCTGGGATTTCAGAATACCAGTCAGCTCCTTCTTCTCTCAGACCCTACACAGTGCCAAAGAAGAGAGACCTAGGAAGAGAAGAGAAAGATTGGCAGTATCTAGGGGAAGAAGCAGATGAGGAGGATGACAGATTTCCTGCGTGGGGCTCTCGAGGTCAATACCAAGAATTAAGGGAAGCCTACAGGTATGCTCGGGGTCGTTCCAGTGAGGAATATGAGTGCTATGTCATACCAGAAGAAGAAGACGAAGAAGAAGCTGCTGACATTTTCTGTGTCACCTGCAAAATTCCAATCAGAGCTTTTGACAATCTTTTTGGTGAGCACAAGGGACATGAGGTGACCCAGCTTAACACTGCAGCAGAAAATGCCCGGGTAAATAAGACACCCCTTTTTCCTTCCATTTCTATTTAAAGAACATTCCAATTGCCACTTATAATCCTTTTGTTTGACAGGAAGAAATTCATAAAAACATGTTCAAATTGGAAGAACAGATTATTCAAATGGAAAATTTTGCAAGTCATTTGGAGGAAGTTTTCATTACTATAGAGGTAAGAGAGCATTTTTTTTAATTAACCTACCAATAGGTGCTTTTTTTCAAAATCAATAATTGGCAGGTTAATAGTCATTACATGGTATGGATGGTCAACACAGATCTGATTGTAATAGTCTTACAGGAACTTAGGGAAGACAAAGAAACTGCTGTTCCTCTTTCCCTGATGTCGGCTGGAGCTCATGGGATGGAGATCATAGGCCACACACTGGAGCAGAAGCCATCCAGTACAACCCCCTCATTTTACAGATGAGGAAACTGAGGCTTAAGGAGGTTAAGTGATGTGCGCAGGGTCATATAAGTAGCAAGCATCAGAGGCAGGACCAGGTTCTCTGACACTGGAGTCTGTGCTTCAGTACTGTGCTGGGGAAGGTGAAGAGTCAAGCCTCTGGAATTGCTTTGAAGGTGACCGATGAGTTGCCCCTGACATCAAAGTGACTTTTCCATGTTCCCCTCTACCACATACTGAAATTAAGTTCCACCTGTTTACTCTGCTCCATTGTCCTTTGTCTTAAACTAGCACATGTGCTGCCCCGACTGTTGAGTGAAAGTGGTAATGAGAGCACTTCCTGGTTATGGATTCAGACTGATGTCGAGCTAAGAGACCATACTCCCGCAATGCAACGGATAGAAGCGACAAGCGATAGTGTCCTGTCGTAGATATTTAGCTGGGCAAGACTTCAGAGTACATCTGGTCCCACACTCTCTCTTACATGTAGAGAAACTAAGGGCTGTCTCTTGGAAAACCTAGCTATATTTCCATAATTACTTCCCAGAATTAGTGGTGCTGGAGGCAGGAACCTGATCTGAGAGGTGATATCTGTGTTTTGGCTACATGAATGATACAGAAGACACCACCCACTCCTAGTTCCAGGGACTTATCTGTGCTTCTGAGGCATCTATCATATTACCCTGCTATCTGTATACTCCTGACATTTAACAGCTGTCAGTGAGGGAAAACACTAGCCACTCAGCAATTTCACCAAACTTTTACTGGAGGAGGAGAGCCCAGGCTGGCAAACTGCTAAAGAGAATGCGTCCATGAAGGTCTAATTCACTATTTTCACTTGAAATCTCCCCACCACATGGCAGAACACATTAAATATATTAATGAAGCAATTTTTTTAGGCACACCAGGATCTGCCATTAAGAGCTCTCCATTCCTATATTGCCTTGGGTTTCTCAATCAGAAGAGCTGTAACTGGGGCTGGGTGATCAGAGATTTGCCCTGAGACACCAAAATTGTTAAGGCACAAAGTATAGTTGCTATAGCAACTAATTTCCTCTCTCATTCCACTGAATTTTTCTTAATGACTCTTACATTAGTTGCATAATTATAAGTTATAAAATTGATCTGAGAGCTTTCCTGCTGCCTGCCCCAGACATGCTATGGCCCCAGAGGATAAAACAGCTAGTTACAACTCTGTGCACCAACCAAAACTGGTAATAGCAAATTACAGTGCAGGGTGCTGGGAATAAATAGAAGCATAAGGTAGGTTACCATCCTTGAAGAAACATTTTATCTAGTTGGGTAGACAAGACTAACATATGAAACAATAAAGTACAGGACTAAACATGATTCAGTACAAAATTGTGTGGTAGGGTTAATAGCCAATTTCCTAGTATAGATGTTCACTGCAGATCTGCCAACCCACTTGTAATAGAGTGCAATAGAGGTTCAAAGAAGGCAGAGGATGGGGAAGATTGGAAGGGTAAGGAAGACTTAATGGTAGGGAAACCTGAGTTGGGCTTTGAAGGATTGGACTCAGAGAGAGGAGAGGACGTTCTAGGGAAAGGGGGTAGAAGAGAGCATGATAGGAGCTAGAGCTAGAAGGATCCTTAAATATCATCTAATTCAAAGCTTTCATTTGATAAGGGAGGAAACTGAGTTCAGAAAGACTTAAGTGACTTGCACAAAGTCACACAGTAGTGTGAGTCATATGAATGAGGCACAGTGGTAGTCAGCCATTAAACATTTAATAAGAACCTACTATGTGGCGGGCCCTTTGCTCAGTTCTGCATATACCAAGAAAGGCAAAAGACAGTCCCTGCTCTTGAGGAGCTCACAATTTAATGGAGGAAGCAACATGAAAACAACCATGTACAAACAAATTATATGCAGGATAAATTAGAGGTAATTGATAGAGAGAAGGTACTAATATTGAGGGAATTGGGAAAGACTTCCTGTAGAAGGTGGGGTTTTAGCTGGACTTGAAGGAAGCCAGGGCAGTTCGGGGCTGAGGAAAGAGAGGATTCCAGACATTCAGGATGGCCAGTAAAAATGCCCAGAGTCAGGAGAAGATGGAGTGTCTCATCTGAGGAACAGCAAAGAGGACAGTGTCACTGGATTGAATGGGGGGGAGTTGTAAGGTGCAAGCAGACTAAGATGGAGGAGGGATGGCAGGTTATGAAGGATTTTTACAAGTCAAACAGAGGATTTTGTATTTGATCCTCGTGGTCAGAGGGAGCCACTAGAGTTTATTGAGCAGATGTGGGAAGGTTGGATTGAGGCAGTCAGCCCTGGGTTTTGGGAAGATCACTTTGATAGCTGAGTGGAAGATGGGCCAGAGAGAGGAGACACTTATGACAGGCAGACCCACCAGCAGGCTAGTGCAGTAAACAATGGATGGATGTGAAGTGATGAAATCCTGTACCAGGGTGGTGGCAGTGTCACAGGAGAGAAGGGGGCACATATGAGAGGTGTTACAAAGGTAAAATCAACAGGCCTTGGCAACATATTGGATATGAAGAGTGAGAGAGAGTGAGGAAACAGCTTAGATTTTCATGGGATAATAAGGACATTGGTCTGACGAGATCTGAGATTGGTTTATAATGGGAAATAAATTTGGATAGGTAGGGACTGCCTATCCAGACTTTGGAGGATCACCACACCAGGTTTAGATTTAATGTGAGAGAAAATAGCCATTGGGGGGGTTGTGGGGGGTTGTGGGGAGGAAGGGAGGGAATTGGAGGGAAGTGTAGTACATCAAAACATGTCTGCAGCCTTCTTTCATAGCATAGCTGAGGCTCATCAAGCACAATGTGGAAGCCTGGCTTTGAGCTCTCCAGCTCCAAGGGGCAGTGACATGCTGTAGGAAACTGAGTGAAGCAAACTGGCCTTTGGCTGCCCACACCTGATGCAAGGCCCTTCTGCTTATCTCTTCACTGACAACCTGTTACTTCTGGCCAGACCCTAATTAAGCTTTCACTGGGTCAGACACAGTTGTGGTCATTTAATTTGGTGGCCTACAATGCTCAGGCCTGCTTGACCGCAGTCCTTTTCAGGAATGATCTGCATGACTGATATGAGCTCACATTATTGTTACACTTGACAGATAAGCTGACTGTTCTCACCTTTGGACTTTGGTAATATCTGACTGGTAGGCCTATGGGACTTATGAACTTGTCCTTCTCTTCTTCAGTGAATGACCTTCTAAAGGTCTGGCCCCAGGCTGAGGCCAAGTATAAGAGAACACAGTGTAGCATGGAAAAATAACTAGACTGGGAATCATATTCTAGTCCTTGTCTGTCACTAATTAGCCACATGACCTTGGGTAAATGACAGCATCACTCTGGGTCTCACTTTTCTCCCGCCCCAGCATTTGTATAGCACCTTAAGCCTTGAAAAACACTTTACATATCTTATTTGATTCTAACAACACCTCTGAGGTAGTTATTATTATCTTCATTTTACAGATGATGAAACTGAGGCTGTAAGAGGTTAAGGGACTTACCTAGGGTCACCTAGCTAGTAAGTATCTGGGGCAAGATTTGAACTTGAGTCTTCTTTAGGTATTCCAAATCTAACATTCTCCCATATTATGCTACTGAGCTACTGCCTGCTGGCTTTCTCATCAGTGAAATGAGGAGAGCACATGAGGTTTTCTGTAAGGTCTCTTTCAGCTTTAAAATTATTATTTTTAATAGTATTTTATTTTTTCCAATTATATATAAAGAACATTCATTAAAAATATTTGAGTTTCAAGTTTTTTCTCCCTCCTTTTGTCCCTTACCCCCTTCCTAAAATGGTAAGCAATTTGATATAGATTTTATATATATATATATATGCAATCATGTATATTTCCATATTAGTCATGTTGTGAAAAAAGAAACAGACCAAAAAGAAAAAAACCACTACCAAACAACAAGTGAAAATCGTGCGCTTTGATCTGCACTCAGACTCCAACAGTTCTTTCTCTAGATGTGGACAGCATTTTCCATCATGAGTCCTTTGGAATTGTCTTGGATCATTGTATTGCTGTCAGCTCTAAAATTATAAGGCAAGATAATTAAAACAATATTTAAGGATGAGAATTACAGAAAATATATTTAAGGAAATGTATCGGTGGATTGGAAGAGGAAGAACCTCAACTCAGGGAGGTCAGTTCCTCCTTCCCCATGGGAAATAATGCAGACATGGTTATAGCAATCCCAAAATGCATTTGGCTACTACTAATACATTACATTTGTATGGTCCTTTATGTTTTCTAAGTGCTTTCACATACTGATCCCATTTAATCCTCAGAACAACCTTGTAGCATAGATGGGGCCCATAGTATTTTAGTATTTCTCCTAGGCAATGCTCCTTATTCCCATTTTTGAGTGTTGACACTACTGACTTTCCCCATTCCTGGAATGCTCTCTCTCTGCTCATCTCCATCTCTCAGAATCACAGGTTTCCTTCAGATTCAGCTCAAATGTCACCTCCTGCTGGAAGCCTTTCCTATTGCTAGTGCCTTCCCCTCTGACATTACTTCCATCTACTCTGTAACATCTTGCACATCCCAATTTACATCCATGCTGTCTCCCTCCATTAGAATGTGAGCTCCTTGAAGGCAAGGGCTGCTTTTGTCTTTTCTTTATATCTGTGCCTGACACAGAATAGATGTGTAATAAATGATTGATTTATTAATAATACTAATAGGTGGCTACATATAGCATTTGAAAGTTTGCAAAACAATTTGCAAACATCTTATTTGATCACTATTACCAATCATTATCCTCATGAGCAAATATTATATATTATACTGATGAGCAAAATGAAACTTGAAAAGTCTAATTGACTTATTTAGTAAAACAATTAACAAGTTAAAGATACAGAGAAAAAAATCATACAGCTCCTTCCTTTAAGGACCCTGCAGTCAATTGGGAGAAACAATATGTACACGTATAAGTAGATTCAATATATGTACAAAGTAAACACAAGAGTAGTTGAGAGGCAAGAGTCACTAGAAGTTCCTGGAGAAAACAGCACTTGAGTAAAGCTTTTAAGGAATATGAATTCTAAGAGGTAAGTGCACGCATCAGGTGTGGAGACTAGAGATGGAATGTCACATATGAAGGACAAGTGACAGTTGGACGTTTCATAGTGCACAAAATGGATAATAATGTGTAATGAGTCTGGAAAAGTAGGTTGGAGGCGAATTGTGAAAGGCTTTGACTGCCAAATGGATGAGTTTGTATTTGATCGTAGAAGTTAATAGGGAATCACTGGGGCTCCGGGAGCAGAGGGTTGACGTGTTCAGACCAGTACTCTAGAAATATCACTTTGGTGACGTTTGAGTTGCATGAAGTACAGATGGGTGAGGAGGGGAGACACAACCAATTTAAAGGCTGTGGGAACTAGCCAGCAAGGGTATACATGCTAGTGAATGTTTAACAAATGGCTGGAGGGAAGAATACAACCATAATACATTTTTAAGTTTAATTTTCCTTACTAACACTTTCTTTTGTACTTTCTTAAGTCTAGACAATCAACAAAACAATAAACCAAGCCCAGATCGTAGTTGGCCAATTTCCTAGGTGTAAATGCTCACACTGAATATTTAATAATAAGCTCTAGCACATCCCTGAAGCCAGGCAAAAGTTGATGAAAGCTTGAACTAGAACAGTGGCTATGTGAAAATGAGAGATACCATGGAGGTAGAATTAACAAGATTGGATATGTAGGCGAGGTCAAGTTGCAATTCAAAGATGACCCTAAGATTGTAAACAGGGTGACTGGAAGGACAGTGGCATCTAGTTGGGAATGGAAAAATTACACAGAATGGTGGGCTGTAGAGAAGAAAGATAGAGTTCTGTTTTAGAACATGATAAAGAGTTCTGTTTTGGGCATTGTTCATTCTGAGATGCATCAGTTGGAAATGGCTGATAGGAACTTGTTTCTAGGATAGAATAAAAACTCTAGTTTGACTTTTACAGTTCTGGTCTCCAAGGCTCTCTACAATCTTACTCTCTCCCTCCCACCCATCCAATCTTATCTCTTGAATTGTTCCTCAGTGTAGATTTTCCACTCTAGCCAACCTAGTCTGTTGGCTACCCTCTGAAGAAATCATAAGCAGATTCACCTCTGAGTCTTTGCTTATGTTATTCCCTCTGACTATAATTCCCTTCCTCTTTCCCCCAACTTTGCCAGAGCCTACCTGTTCTCCAAGACTCAGATCACTTCCCTTCTACAAGGCCTTTCCTGATTACTGCTGCCCACCGTGAGCTCTTTCTTCATTTTCTCATGGCAGTTCTATAAAAGTAGCACTTCATTTATGCACTGCCTTATCCGGGATTATAAATGTGTTTGTTAGTCTTATTTTTTCAATGAGATCATAAACTCCTTGGATGCAGAGAATGTCTTGTAGCATTTCTGCCCCTAGCACAACACTGTTGGTAAATTTGTGTTCATTGATGCAAATGATAGAAAATATGTTATCAGGAAACATTAAAGGGGCCCCCTTCTGACTCTCAAATTTAACGATTATATCTCTAACTCTCTGTAAGCATGTAAAAGACATTGGACACCCTTTCTTCATTCCTACAGGAGATGAAATTATAGGAAATACATTTCAACAGTCAAAAACGAGATTGGAAGTTAGATACCTCTATGAATAAATGTCGATTTTTATCAGATTATATAAACTACACTTCAAAGGCTTCAGGGCAGAAATGAAACAAGACTAGATTTCCCAAGAGAGATTGACAGAATCTGACCTTGATTGTTCAAGGTCACAGTGGAGATAACACTGGAATCCAATTTGGAAGAGCTGGGTTCTAGTTCAGGTTTTGCTGATAATATAACTGGACTAGAACCCTTCGTCAAGTCCCTTAACCTGAACGAGCCTCAGCATGCATTGAGAATAGAAACTCGTTCAGATGCTTGCAACTGTTGTTGTTTAATCATCTCTAACTCTTTGTGACCTCATCTGGGGTTCTTTGGCAAAGATACTGGAATGGTTTGCCATTTCCTTCTCTAACTCATTGTACAGATGAGAAAACAGAGGTGAACAGGGTTAAGTAACTTGCCCAAGGTCACACAGCTAATAAATATCTGAGGCTGGATTTGAACTCAGGTAGGTGACTCTTCCTGACTCCAGACCTGGCACTCTATCCACTGTGCCACCTAGCTGCCTGTTTCAGTTGTTAAGCTGTGCAATCCTTGCTTTATGTTGACTCTGGAATGTTAAGAAAGTGGGTTGAGTTCGTGATCTTACCCAACTTCCCACTCCCCTCCCCACCCTTCCCACCTATCCCTCCACCCTTGGGAACCTAGATAGGATAATAGGTTCTAGAGTCTAATGACCTGGGATTTATTCTGGCTCTGCTACTTACTACCTTGTGACCTTGGATAAATTGCTTAACCTTTCTACATCTGTTTTCTTCATCTGTAAAGTACAGAGGATGGAACAGATGATCTTGAAGGAAGGAAATTTATTAAACACCTGCTGTGTGCCAGGTGCTGTGCTAAGTGTTTTGTCAATATTATCTCATTTGGTCCTCACAACAGCCCTGAGACAGAGGTGCTATTAATATCCCCATTTTGCAGTTGAGGACACTGAGGCAGACATAAGTTAAGTTACATGCCCAGGATCACACAACTGGTAAGTGTCTGGGTCAAATTTGAACTCAGGTCTTCCTGACTCCAGGCCCAGAGCTATGTCCACCCCATGGTACCTCACTGCCTCTGAACATATCTATCTCCAGATTCCAGGCATTTTAACTGATTGTCCCCCACCTCACACCTTACACAGGAAGCCTTTTGCAATCTCCCTTAATTAAAATTATTAAAATTATTTCCAATTTATCTTATGTATAGCTTGTTTGTACATAGTTGTTTGCATGTTGTCTCTCCCATTAAACTGTTAGCTCCTTTAGAGCAGGGACTATCTTTTGCCATTGCTTGTATCTCCAGCGCTTAGGACAGTGCCTGGAACACAGTAAGTGCTTAATAAATGTTTATTGACTTACTATGACCAGGAATGAAAAGACCTTTGTTCTAGTTCTGGGTCTTCCACTAATCAGCATTGTTATCATAGACAAACCACAACTTTCTGAGCTTTAGTTTTCTTTTCCTATATACCAAGGGTTTGAATTAGTTAATCTTAAAATCTCTTCTATCTCTCAATTCAACAACTGAACATTTTAAGGTGCTTCACTGTAAAACATGGCTGAAAATGGTATGACTTGTGGTCATGTAAACTGAAATAACTTGTCTCAACTATCTTACAGGAGAATTTTGGAAGACAGGAGCAGAACTTTGAGTTGCATTATAATGAGATCTTGGAAACTCTAGCTCAGAAATATGAAGAAAAAATGCAAGCTTTAGGGGAAAAGAAGAGAGAGAAAATAGAAGCATTATATGGACAACTGGTCAGTTGTGGTGAAAACCTTGACACTTGTAAGGAACTTATGGAAACAATTGAGGAGATCTGCCATGAGGAGAAGGTTGAATTCATAAAGGTAAGCAATGATACAGAAGAAAAGGATTAACTGGGATAGATTTTGCTCATTCCAGTCTAGAAAAATCCCAATTAACTGAGAGTATAAAATGGCCATTGAGTGTTTGTGGTGAGTGACATCACTTTCCAAGGGTAGAGGGCCATGGCCTGCCTGGAAAGTGTACATGCTGGCTGATTCACCCAACTAGGGAGAACCAGCAGAGTTGACAGGATGGCTTTCAAATGATAATGCACTGTATCTGTGACCTCATCCACATAGGCATTTCCTACAGTGGTACAAATTGCAACCCATCCATGCCTTCTTATCTTGTGCAATTTTGGTCCACGTCCATCCATAGATTCTCCAAAGTGGGTCCAGATAACATTTTGGACATCTTCCTTCAACTGATAACACAGTTAGTGATTTGTTACAAATAATGTCTAATGGTACTAGGAAAACATTTTCCCGAAGTGCTCTTGTCACCCTTGGAGATCCAGAACCATAAAACCACAAAGTTTTTGGGAGTGTAATAGCATATATACTTTTCTCAGTTTCTACTAACTTCTTCCCCCATCTCCATTTTTTGGCTGTGTAGAACACAGGGATGTGTATATCTCAGTCCAGAGAGATCTCTAATGGCAGATATATCTTTTAAAAATAACCTTGCTTATAACTCTATAGAATCATTCAATTAATATTTCTGAGTTTCTATTATGGGTAAGGCACTATGCTAATCACTTACATTGAAGTTCATTGAATTTAAAGGTGTGTGAAGGTTTCTATAGCAAACACTCCTCAGTCCTCAGAGGATGGCAATAATACAAGGAGAGAGGCTGAGGGCCTATGTCTATAGCCCATGGAGTATTTGTATCTTTACAGGGTTCCCCCATCTGCCCAGAAAAAGTGTGTTTAGTGTCCATCAATGTAGATCAGTAGTATTGAACTCAAATGGAAAATGGGGCCACTAAACCATAGAAAAAGATCTGTGCAGGCTGCGTATTGACTTAGAAAACCATATGTTAATATTTTCAGTGTTTTATTGCATTTTTATTTATTTGGTTAAAGATTTCCCAATTATATTTCATTCTAGTTTGAGCCTTACTTAGAAGTGTTGTGGCCTTCATGTTTGACACCTCTGGTATAGATAACCCTTTTAAATCCCAAGAGGTTGGCCAGAGAGTAGAAGGCTAAGCGGGCAAGCCTGCGCTGTCACATCTTAAAAAGCAGCAGAAGTCCCCCGGTAGCTATCAGAACAACTACTGCCATGGATCTTTCCCGGCTGCTACAACCATAGACTGTGGGCTCCAGAATATTCTGTTTTCTGTTTTCTTCTTTTTGCCACTGCAGCATCCCTTCAGTGCTGGTAGACTGGTTGTCATCACAGACATGGGTGTCACTTCATCTGTCTTGCCATTTAATGTTCAGGACTGGACTTTGTGGTGCAGCAATACAGCCTTCCTTGATCAGATTCAGGACTAGGTCTCTTCTTCCTAGCACTGGCATTAGGATGAATGACCTTGCCTTACCTGCCCACTACTTACTTTGTCCTTAGGGTAACATAAGCTTTGGTGACTTAGACCAGTAATATATAAAATAATCTTAGTTGATCCCATCACTTGGCTGACTCCAGTCTAACAGTATGGTGCCAGAGATGAGTATGGCTAAAGAGAACAATATGTATTCCTTCCCAAACTTTCTACACACTTCATAAATGTTATCTGCTTTGCAACGATAGTTGTTGGTTGTCAAACTTCTTAGTCTCAGGACCCCTTTACACTCTTAAAAACTATTGAGGACCCGGAAGAGCTTTTATTTATGTGGATTATATATCTACCAATATTTACCATTAAAATATCTTAGGATTACTATGAAAATAGTCTTAACCTCATAGACCCCCTGAAAGGGTCCCAGAATCCCTGTATTTGAGTCAGTTTCAGGTTCATAGGCTTCCAAAGGAGTTCGGAGGATCATGTGTTTAGAGCTGAAAGGGAATTTGGTGATTTTCTAGTCCAGCCCTACCTTTTTCTTTTTATGTATGAAGAGACTGAGGCACAGAGAGGTTCAGTAACTTGCCCAACATCATGCAAGTAGGAAGAGGCAGAACTGGGAGCCCAACCCAGGTTCTCCAGGTCCAAATCCAGTGCCCATTCCACCACTGACCACCTCATCCTGGTTGGCCGATTCCTTAGGGCTGCCCACCAGTCTGTGACAGCTTCTGCCCAGCAGTGCTCGCCATTAAGAGCTGTGCTTCACTGCATCCACCAATGCATTGGTGGATCTTCTCTTCCCACTCCCCACTGAACATTGGCCAGGTTTTCCTGCTGACTCCCATTCTCATGTAGATCTCTCAGTTTCTTCCAGAGCTGCTGCCATGATTATCCCTAGCACACTGCCTAGGTCTAGGATGCCAGTGGCACTGACCTCTGTTGCTATTTAGTGTTCAAGAGGATTTTGTGGTATAGTAGCAAGAGGATAGAGAGTACTGACCAGGTCAGGAGTTGAGAGACAGGGCTTCAAGTCCTCTGATTTAACTGGCTGCGTGACTTTAACCTGTCTTACCTGCCTCATTTGTAAAATAGAGATAATAATATTTTTCCGAGTTACCTACCTCACAACATGGTATAGCAGATGGAGATCTATTTTTGGAACCAGGACAGATCTGGGTTCAAGCCTTACCTCTGACACATGCTGGTTATGCACCAACCCCACCCCCCCACCCCCCTCCCAGGCCAGGCAAGTCGCTTGACTCTAAGGCAGTTCTTAGTTCTTAACCCTGGGGGTGTGTGTGTGTGTGTGTGTGTGTGTGTGTGTGTGTGTGTGTGTGTGACTCCTTTGGAAATCTGGTGAAATCTATTCTTCTCAGAATAGTTTTTTTAAAAATGCATAATACAAGGAAATGCTGAATTTCAGTTAGAGGTTATAATAAAGATGTAATTCCCCCCACCATATAAATTGATAGATCCCCCCGAAATCTATCCATGAACCAGTCTGATACTGCAGAGTGAGAACCCCTGCTCTGTGACTGTAAGCTTCAGAGGACATGCTGACCTACACTTCCTGGTAAAAAGAGGTTCTTCCCCCAGGAATTTCCTGATATCAATGAAATCAACAGGTCCCACTCTTAGCCTACTTAGCCTACAAAGGGTATTAAGAGGAATATATAAGAAAGCAGATGTAGAAACAGTTTACAAGTCATAAAACACAGTACAGGGATGATATGGCCATGTAACCCGTTTATGCTTTTGGAGCTGCTGAAGGAAAAAGAGGCCATATCTGTGACAGGTGCTCCAGAGGCCATGGACACGGTCAGGGAAAAGGTTAGACCCCACCAGTGACTCCAGTTCAAGAGTACACAGACAGGATGTACTGACCTCCCTAAGTCACTTCCCCATTCTCTTGTCAATCCCCGCGTCATTAAAGCATTCACTGCCTGTGTTGCCAGTGAAAATCTCTGGCTCTGGATGAGGCTTCCCTGGTGCATTACCCCAGTCATTTGGGGGATTAGTATAGTCCACAGCTCAAGGGTTATTTTTAGTACACATACTTGAAGAGCCTGTAGGAAGCTGACTGCTAGTAAGGTCATAAAAGACTAAGAACCTTGGAATAAATGCTCAGGCCTTCCCTAGACCCACTAGAACCTGAAGTGATTCAAATAGAGGTTATTTCTGGTCCTTCTTGTTTTCCCACCATCCCCTTGGCACAGGAACAAATTATGGGATAGTCAAGTTGAAAGCTATGAGTAAGTCAGATAACTCAAATAAAAGTAGAAGGTAAGAGATGAAGAGGACAGCCACAGAGGTGATACATCTAAGCCTAGCCATCATTTTGTAGGCTAGCTTCAGAGATAGGGAATGAGTTGTCTAGAATTTGCTGGATAGCTGGTGGTGGAGCCAGGCCTCTGAGACCCTATCCAGTTTTCTTTGCATTATACTACACTTCCTCTTTTTTTGTTTGTTTGTTTTTGCTTTTTGGTGAGGCAATCAGGGTTAAGTAACTTGCCCAGGGTCACACAGCTAGTAAGTATGAAGTGTCTGAGGCCCGATTTTAACTCAGGTCCTCTACACTTCCTCTTCAAGACTGCTTTCCTTCTCTGATCACTGATTTTACATGTCTTAGTACTCTGATGTATATGTACATATATGTATATATGTATATGTGTGTGTATATATATATATATGTATATAAAACCAATGGCTTGAGTCACCTTACAAAGAAACCTCAAAGAACTAAGCATAATAACAACAATAAAAACAGCAGCAACAACTGACATTTACATAGCACTTTAAAGTATGCAAAATGTTTTGTTTATTTCATTTGTTATTTCATTTGATCTTCACAGCAGCCCAGTCAGGTTAAGCGCTATGGATGTTGTTATCCCCATTTAACATATGAGGAAACTGAGGCTGAGACATTGCCCAGGATCACAAAGATGGTGAATGAGTGTTTGGGCATACAATTTGAACTGAGGTCTTTTTAATTTCCAAGTCCTTGGGAGATGCTCAATCCAATATGTCACAAAGGAAGAAGGGTATTTCTTCAGAATTAGGGGCCAAGAAAGCACTATGATATGTCTAGCCAAGTAGCTCACAGCGTTCATAGTGGGGGATCCTTCCTAGCGACAGGGAGAACCCCCAGTTGATGGTGGGTAACACAGCTTTGAAGAATCTGGAGTGTATATTTATAGGTTAATAAACTTCTAATTTAGAAGTAAAACCTTGCTACCTAGGAAACTTTTTTCCACTTCGTAATTATATCACCTATTACCCATGGCTGAGGTTTTATTTTTCACCTGAGGATGGGGTCACATCAAGCATTCTGTTTTGTTCTCTTGCTCATTTTCCCCGACAATTCACCTAAATAGTAGAATGTTCAGGAATGTTCTGAAACATACATAAGGAAACCCCCTAGTGACCAGTTAATGATCCCATTAGCCTTCCCCATCAAGAGGCACCATTTTCTTTGGCAGGTGCCCCTTTGGGGGAAATAATAGGTATTTTCAAACACAGCATTGGGTCCTCTTAATCCGAGCTTCCTCGTGACCCCGTGCGTGGGTGCTTTTCCGCACAGCGCAGCAGTGGCTCTGGATTTGGACAGGGAGGGGGAAAGTTCACATGCTGACACCCTCCTGCTTTCATTGTCAAGCCACCTTGGGGCCTTTCTAGTCTTCTCACCATTTGACATTGTGCCTCTTCCCTTTCCTTTCTTCTCTCAAGGCCAATCCCTATGTTCTCCTTGGCTTAGCTCAGTCAGCACTGCAGTCATTCCCCTTTGCAGCCCTCCCTGGGTGTAAAGCAGCAGATGTGAACAGCCCAAATTGTTTTTAGCAGCTGACACAACCTGAAAAGTATAATTGCAGTAATCTCCAAAGTAGCTGGGGCAGACAGTTCTTTTCACTACAGAGCAGGGACCAGCTTTGAACACTCCACTCATTTCATAGTGTTAAGCCTTCTACTAAAAGAAGAGGAAAAAAAAATTAACACACAAATGAAAAATACTCCCTAATGCCCCATTCCAGGAGAAAGAGAAGCTTAATGTTTTAATTGTTTCCAGATTTCAGGAAGCTTCTCCAATTTGTCCTAGATGGTTTATTTTCTTTCAAGGAATGTGACTTTGCTCCAATTGTGTTTTCTCCTGGACTCATCTGGGTTCTTCAGTAAGGCTTCTTTTGGTTATAGGGTAAACAGTGTCTGTCACTGTAAACAGTGGCCAATTGCCCTCTTGAATCAAAAACCTAAAAAGTAGATCAGTGGACATGGCATACCCTGATATTGAGGCTTCTGATAAGCATTAAAATAAAAAGTGGATAGCCTAGGGATGAATATAGCTATAAGGCAGATTCTTTATTCAAGTTTTCAATAGGGCAAAATGCAGTAATGTTAGAATCCTTACACAGCATCACCAATGAAGCTATATTTCTGAGAGGCAGGATGGCATAGTGGATAAAGTGCTAGATGTGGAGTCAAGAAGAGCCAGGTTCAATTTCTACCTTAGAAACCTACCAGTTGTGTGACCCTGGGTAAGTCACTTCATCTCCTCTGTGCCTAAGTTTCATTATCTGTAAAATGAGGTAGTAGGATTTGATGAACTCTAATGTCCTTTTCAGCTCTAAATCTTTATCCTAAATGAAACCCCAAATGATATTTCAAGCATATACCAACTATATATCAGGCAAAGATGGTAGGCCATTTATTCATTAGCATTATTATTATTATTATTGTTCATTCTACCTAAACCTTCCAAATCTGCTTGCAAGTTACTTCAATTTCTGTAAAACTTTGCTATTAATATAATTAATCACCAAATTATAGCCTGTTGTTACAAATGGTTTGCAGTTTTCATAGCACCTGAAGGGATCGCATTAACAGCCCATTTTTCATTTTCCTTAGCTCAAATTAGAAAACCAAAATTGCTTAAATTTAGCTTTGCCTAAACTGGGCTGTTACTTGCTACGGTAATGAGTAGCTGCTTATGTCCTCAAATAAGTTTAATCTACTTCTGGCAGCTTTGGTTTTTTGGGGACAGGGAAAGTGTTTTGTTCATCATAGTACCTTGCCAATAGTTGGCACTCATTAAACATTTGTTGAATTTAATTGAATATTTCTCCTGAAGAGATGGATTGTTACATTTTGGTATGTGGGGCAAGATTCAAAGTATATGACTGGGGAAGTAACATGAAAGACAACCTTCAAACCAATTTTAAGGACTATTTCAGTTGAGAAGAGAATGAAATAAAAGGCCACAAGGTAGCAAAGACCCTTAAGACACCGTGAGGAGGCTGCCACTGGTGGCACTGGGTGGGTTTGGGTTAAGGAGGAGCTTACCTGGGTTATGGCCACCAGGAAGAAGAAACCACATGAGAGCTTCCTATTTTAAATGAATAATCTTCATAAAAATTTTAAAATTAAAAATTTTTTTCAATCAGTAAAAATAAGCCTTCCCCCAAATTAAAGATGAAAGAAAAAACAAAAACTCTATTAATTAATAGAGTGTAGTGTGTAGTGGATAAAAAGTGAGCCTTTAACTCAGAAGGACCTGAGCTTAAGGCTTGCCTCTATCATAAGACCCTGGGCAAATCACTCAGCCTCTCAGGGCTCTAAGTAACTCTCCAAGACTCTAAATAGCAATGAAAGGGCTGACTCTCGTTGGTAGAAGGAGTTTCCTCACCTGAGAGTTCCCTATACCACTGCAATCACAAACCCAGTCCTACTTCCCTAATCCTAACTAAACCGGATGCCTTTATGCTACTAGAGGAATGTAGATGTTGTCAGCATCCTCTAATTTCGGTGCTTTTGGACAGGGACCAGGTCATTCCACCCTAGTTCTAGCTCTGACTCCCCCAATGGGCCTTGCACATGAGGCACCCAACAAATATTGCAATGGAAGGATTTTTTCAACAGCATATCCTAGAAACCACAATGAGATTGGTAGATGCAGAGAAGATAAGGGGGATTAAAAATACTTTCTCCCTAGAAGATAAAGTAGTTTAGAGCCCTTTTTTTAACCTCTCAGTCAGGTGTAGGAGGCTGCTTGAATCAAACCAAATGTAAAGGTAAATTTTGTGTTTCAACACTAGCTTCTACTTAGTTTTAGCATCAACTTATTTTTGCTAAGATTATCTCAATTTGGAATAAAATCTGATTAAATTAACTCTGACATTGTATAGTTCCTTTTTTTTGCTTTATTTTAACACTGAATTTCTACTGATGTGAAATATTCACCATTTTCATTTAAATCCTCCCCTACCTTTTCCTCTCGTTCTAGGATGCAGTAACTATGGCTGACAGGTAATATTTGTATTTTGGCATACGTTGCATTTTTGTTTCTTTTCCCCACCTCCCCACCCTGCTATATATCTAAGCACATTCAATTCCAATTAGCTGAGTTGCCAGGAATTTCTTCTAGGGTATGAATGCTTTAGATTGAAACACAAATGGCTTTAGAATAATAATATTTTAGAGCCAAAAGGGACCATAGAGACCTGTCTAATCCCCTCATTTTGAAGATGAAGAAACTGAGGTCCAGAGAGATGATGTAGGGTAACTAATTACTCAAGATAGTTTATGGCAGAGATAGGAGTAGAGTCCAGACCTTCTAATTGCTAACCTTTCCTATCATTTTATATTTTTTCCACCCATGACTACAACCCTAGTTCAGGTCCTCATCTCCTCTCACTTGGACTGCTGCAATAGCCTACTAATTGATGTCCCTACTCTGAGTCCCTCCCACTCCAATCCATCCTTCACCCAACTGCCAAAGCTATTTTCCTAAAGGCTAGTTCTGACCGCATCACAACACACAATAAACTCCAACATCTCCCTGTTATTTCCAGGATCAAATATAACATCCTCTGGCACTTAAAGCTCTTTACAATCTGACCCCTTTCTGCCTTTCCAGTCTTCTTAAGACTTTATCCCATTCTTTGCAGTCTATGGTCCAGTCACATTTGTCTGCTTTACCGTTCCTCACACACAACATTCCGCCTCTCATCTCTGTACCTTTGCATTGGCTCTTCTCCATGCCTAAAATGCTTTTTTTCTTCACCTCCATCTCTTAGAGTCCCTAGTTTCCCTAAGATTCAGTTCAATTCAGCTTGAATCCCACCTTCTGTAAGAGGCCTCCTAGTGCCTTCTCATATGAGAAATTACCTTTCATTTATCTCTTGTATATATGTTGTTATTTTTATGTTTATTTCCCCCATTAGGTGAACTTTTTGAGGGCAGGGACTTCTTTTGCTTTCCTTTGTATTCCCAATACTTAGCATAGTGCCTGGCACACAGCAGATGCTTAATAAATGCTGGTTGATTGATAAATCTAGAGAAATAAACATAACTGAGTTTAGATATAGCCACCTCTTAGAGATATGCTTTTAAAGACTGGAAAGTTAATATGCAAAGGGTTTGGAAATAGTTTTACATATTTTAAGAAATATGTATTATATATGTATATACATATATAATACATATATATACTATATATATGTATAGTAGATGTATATGTACTATAAGAGAGAAAAGGTATTGAAACTTGGGGACCACCTTCTCTAGGAAGCCTTTGCTGATCACCTCAAGTTATTTAATGTTCTCTCCCTCTTTAAATAAATTTCTAATCTCAGTGGTATATATGTTATGCTCTCACACTCCCGTCCCTCCCCCAGCAGTAGAACGTAAGTACCTTGAGGCCAGGTATATCTCTAATACCTGAGAGGTGGGATGACATAGATGGAGAACTGGCCTCAGAGTTAGAAAGATCTGGATCCAAGTACTGCCTCTAACACAGGATGGACTATGTGACCCTGGAAAGTCATTTAATCTCTCAAGGCTATGGGCAACTCTCTAGGACTATGGGTTATGGAGAAGGTATCAATTTGTATTGGGAGAGTGAGTTTCCTCCTTGAGGGTTCCCTGTATCAATAAAATCACAAGTTCTATCCCTATCACCAGTTCCAATCATCAGCCCATACAGTGCCAGACATGTATCACACACAATAAATGCTTGTTGCTTTGTTGAATATAATCTAACCAGGAAAGAGTATAATAGGACAATTGTTTCTGTTGTTCTGGGCATTATATTTTATATTTCTATTAATGTAAGGACTATTTCATTTGTTTTTATTTCCCTAGAATTTAGCATAATGCTCTGCACATAATAGGCACTTAATAAATACTTATTTAATTGAATTGAATCCCTTCTGTGTGCTATTAGTAACTTATATGATTAAACATCAATGAAAAATCAAAACAATATTTAAAAATATTTGTAGATATGAATTAGCTTAAGGAAAAAAAGGAGTTACCACCTTGCAAAAATCAACTGCTTTAGAATTTATTTCATCGGCATTTGAAAAAAAATTTCAAAATACCAGACTAGATACACTAAGTATACTAGGTATACTAAGAAATTCACAATAGCAAAAATGGAAAAATGCTGTCCCTGTAAGTCTGTATTTTGGTTGATTTGTTGGTTTTGGAATTAGACCCTTTCAGAGTTTGGGTGTATGCACACGTGTGCATCTGCACACACAATTCCACATGTCTGTGTCTCTATTTCTCTTTCTACCTCTTTTTATCCCTGCTGTATGTGAAGTGATCTGTTTTCCTGCAAAAGTTGTTTGCTCTGTTTTTAGATACAGACCTTAGAAGTATAAGGTACGTTTGTACACACACACACACACACACACACACACACACACATCTACTCCTCAACTCCACCCCACCCCAATCCTGGGGATTAGCTATGCTGTGACTAGCTAGTGTCAAAGGCTCTACCTTTTTAGAGGTTGCTCTGCTCCGAAGATGCTTCTGGGCCTCCCCAGCCTTTCCTTGAGAAATACAGTTAAACAGCTATCTAAAGGAAGTTCACTCCTCAGCAAACACCCAAAATATACAGACTTCTGCAAGAAACAAGACAAACTAGCACACAGGAGGATAAAAAAAGGATCAGCTACCAGACGTAGCAGGACTAAGCTTTCTTGGATGTGCTATTCTGTTCAGCATATCTTTGCCACGTCAGCACTCAGCAACACTGAGAAAACTACTGCAAACTTGTTGCTACATATACAACCACAACCTAGTGGGTTGTTCCTTATTGGACTCTTAGGATGGCTCTGCAGGACTTAGTAGAAGGATGTGATGATGTCTGCTATGATATCTGAGATGATTTTTGATAGCTGCCAGAAAGGGAGGATGAGAGGGGAGAAAAGAGGGGAGTTACCCAGCTATAGTGTGCATCCTATCGCCACTCCCTAAAGCTTGAGGGGACCATGGACAGCATTCAGGTGATAATGCTGTAGTCTTTCTCTTTGTTAACCTTTCTGCTTCTTCTTTTTTCATCATTGCATCCCTCTCCCATTCTCTCCGTAATTAGACATAATATAGAATTGAAGATTATTTTGTATTCTGCCTTTTATATTTCTTGGTGAGAAATAAAACCTAAATTAAATTACCTTTTACTTACATGGCCTGATTTCTTCTGTAGAATGAAAGAGTAGACTAGATGATATAAGGTTCTTTTATTCTAACACTGATTTTAGGATTATTGCAGTCCTGCTTTGAACCAGCTATCAGACCATGAGTAACTCACTTGACTTTAATTTCATCATCTGGAAAAAACGGTGTTGGACTTGATCCTTCTGGCTCCAACATTTTATGATTACTAACTACTACTGCTACTACTACTACTGCTACTACTACTACTACCACTACTACTACTACTACTAGATAAATGAAATCCAAATAGTTGATTAGATAGTGGAAAAAATTGGAGTGGGAAAAAAATGAAAGGACTTGGATTAGAATTCTGGATTTTCTACTTATTAGCAGTGACCTTGGGCAAGTCACTTCTCTCTGGACCTTAGTTTACATATGTATAAAATGAGAGGATTGAGCTAGATGATCTAAGAGGTCTCTTCCAGCTTTAAACCTATGATTCTGTGTTTTGAGTTTTGCCTTTTCTCTCTTGCCCAAATTATCTAATTAGGAATTGTTTTATAAGCCCAAAGTGGGTGGGAAAAAGAAAGAGAGGTATCTATATCATTTAAAACTAATAGTCAGCTTAGGCTATGTGTTGGGCTCCCATTCATCAGACTCCAAAATAGCCTTTGCCATAGATTATCTGCCAAGAGGAATCATATGCTCTTAGAGTTGGAAGTGACCTTCACGGTCACCTACTCTTACCTTCCAAATCATATAGGAATCCACTCTACTATGTCCCTGATAGATGAACCTTCAGCTATTGCATGGATATTTTTAGTGATGGAGAGCTTGCCACATCCTAACCCAAACTTATTCCATTATTGCATGATTCTATTATAAGAAATTCCTCCTATACAGAAATCTTTCCCAAACCTACCTCTTTGTACCTTTCAATTATTGATGCTAGTTTTGTTCTCAGAATTTTGATGAATGATTCTGCACTCTTAGACAGTCACTGCAGAGAACCCTTTCTTACATGTCTACTTTGATAAAGAGAATTATCATTTTTCAGTTCACAGAACCTTTTCCCCTACATTATCTCATTTGATCCTCATAACAATTCATCAAGGTAGACAGGATATTATTCCAGTTTTATAGAAAAGGAAACTGAGGTTCGGTAATTTGACTAGTATCACATTATTAGGGAATGATGGGATTGTGACTAGAAACCAAGTCTTTTGGCCACCCTGCTTAAGTATATAAACGAGAATACTGAGAATCTTTATTTGCAGGGTTGCTGGCTGTGCAATAGAAGCCATGAGACTACTTTATATAACTTTATGTCAGATAGAACCTCTAGCATGTGCAGTAGTATTGTGTGATGGTATGATTCTAGGCCCCTAAAACTCATAGTCCCACAGTGTATGTAAAGATAAACCAGTGATCAGGGGTCCCACAGTCATGCCTCCCTCATTGTTTCTGGGAAAGAGCAATAAAAAGCACTTAGAGGGAAGAAGAGCATGGAATGGGTGTCTGTGGAGGGACTATTGGGCAGAGACCCCTTCCTTGCACTACAGGACCTTGGTACAGCTCTAGGAGGGATATGGAAGGCCCTGAAAGACACATACACAGGTGAAATGGTCTTTGAGAATTCTGAATCATGCTGAAGCTCTAGGCATCCTTCTTAGCCCAGGTTAGAACCCGAGGGGCCAGTCCCATTTCAAAACCTCTGAAGTCAGTGGTCAGAAACTCCTGCATATCTCCAGAATCTCTAACCAGGGAGTGCATGCCTATTCTCTGCTTTCCCATCTCCCTCTATCTCACCTTGATTGGAGATGGTTTCTAATGCATCCCCTTATGTCTTTGCTTTGCAAACCTCAAAGCACTCTATTATGGTGAATTATTATTGTTGCTTTTATATGTCATTTACTCATAGTTAGGACAAAACACTTATATGCCCTAGGTAATGTTTGAAAACTGTAACGGTACCCCAACTCTCACACTGCTGTTCTCCTCACCACCACCCCTTTTGTGTTGCTGACCAACAGAGATGTTGAGTCTTTACTGTAATTCCTGTGACGTGACATTAAAACAAATACCTAAGTACCATGGACAGCAGAATCCTAACGTGTCCTTTCTCGCACACTAACCATGGCTTTCATGCAGGAGGTGCCTACACCTGATTTCCAGCACTGAGCATACTTAAACAGATCAGCAAAGGTAGGCAGAGTTCTAGAATTCCTGTTCACATTTTCTATGCAACCAACAGAAACTTAACACTAAGAAATAAAGATGCACTTTCTGCATTGAATAACAGAATACCTAACTCCCCCTCCAGCCATTAGCAATGACAGAATAGTGTAAGCAGTATCCCAGCGGCACCATTCTATGCATTGTTAACATGGTCTTTTAAATGTGCAGACTTGGAGAATTCCTGAAAACCAAAACAGATGTTGAGCTTTCCACACATCCAGATTTTGAAGACCAAACCATCGATTTCTCTGACATTGAGCAGCTGATGGATTCTATTAATGCCATTCCAGGTAGTTTTTAATAAATGGACAAGCTTAGAGTCAATTTCAAGTTTGAATACTTGATGCTTGGGAAATGTCTATTGTGACAAGCTAATGTTCCTCTACTTATTACCTAAAAGGAAGATTTAAAGTCACATTTTAGAAATCCATTTTCCTTCTAGCCTTCATGTTTTTTATCTTTACCTCCAGAAGCTCTTAAGGGATAGAATTCAGGATATTACCTGTTGGTGGGTAAAGATGCCCATGGTAACTATCCCCTTGGAAGATTTTAAGGCCTTAGATTTGTCACTAGGCAGGATTAAGATGTCATTTTGAGTTCATAGTTGGTCAGTGTTGTAAAAAGCTACCAATTCACCTAGTTTGTTCCAGGAAAGTATTGCTGCATTTATTTCTTTGACTGTAGTACTTGTAATTCCCCTAGAGAAGAGGGCTGGAGGGGCAGTTAGGTGGCGCAGTGGATAGAGCACCAGCCCTGAAGTCAGGAGGACCTGAGTTCAAATCCAGCCTCAGACCAAACACTTGACACTAGCTGTGTGACCTTGGGCAAGTCACTTAACCCCAATTGCCTTAAAAAAAAAAAAAAGAAAAGACGAGGGCTGGCCAAACAAGTTGTGAGGGTCAGTAAAAGCTTTGTACTTATTTGCAATATCATTGCAGGAAAAGCTGACCTAGTTCCCTTTCCCCATTAGAATTGTTCACCATAAAATCCTGTGGACAGCTATGTTGTAACTATAAAATAATGGGACTGATTAGCATAAACCAGGCATTTAAAAAGAAACACAAACATCCTCTTTAGGTTACAACCCCAGGCTTAGCAGCATTCCATGAAAAGGAAATGAACCATTGGCCAGGAGCACCAGGAAACGATCTTTTATCCGGATTCCTCTAAGAAACCAAAGTCTGATGCTGTAGAATGGTAATAGTTTTAACAGTGACTCATTTGTGTATGCTTTAAGGCTTGCAAAATGATTCATATCTCTTTTCAAGATTTAAGGTGATGATGGCCTTCTATAACAGTCCAAATTTAGGATTTAAGAAATCTTGCAAATCAAATTTTATCCCCTAAATCTTCTCCTTTTTTCCCTTTCAGTTAAAAACCAAAACCTGTGTGTCCCCCACCACCACCACCACATTGCCCTCCACCTAAAGACCTCAAATCCTTATCCAGGGATGTGCCAAACTATTTGATTACAAATTTAGAGGTGAGATCTTGGTGTCAGATTAAGATCAAGAAATTGGAGTTCTCTTCCAAACATTATCAGTAACAGCAGCAATAGATCCCAGGGCCATCAGGCTCTCTCATTCCTGTTTTATACTGATAAATTATAGAAATAAATCTTTTTATTTAAAATATTTCTTCTGTTCTCTTCAAATATGTTTTAAACTATCTGCCTGAAAAAACTGAGTAATCTCATGCTATTTATTTATTCATTCATTCATTCATTTATTTTATGGAGAGGGGGACAGGCTTCTGGAAGCCTGCTATAGGGTTACTAAGGAGATCAGCTCTATGGAAGTATAGAATAAATAAAAGGAAGAATGGAGGAATAAATTCATAAAGCAGTTACAGAGTTATATTTCTGAATGGAAAAAGACCATCTTGGGATTTTATAGAGACTTGTTATTATACTGCAATGTGCTTTTTCTCTCTTTCTAATTTTGGCATCTTTTCAAAGAAGACATAGGAGTCAGAGGAAGCAGGGAGCACCAGGAGCGATCATGGAGTGTGCTAAGAAAGTAATTTAACGCCTTTTTTCTCAGGTATCCCTCAGTCTAAAGGCCTAGTCTTCTAGAGAGTGTTCAAATGCCCAGAGAAGTTGCCTGCAAAGGCTTTTTTTTTTTAACTTTTAAAAACCCTAAAATCCTGAAGTTCAGAAACCAGAGCCAGAGCTATACAAGTGTTCTAAAAGTATTTTCTGTGTGAAGAAAAGGATCAGGATGAGTTTAAAGGTTGTTTTCTGCTTGAGGAAGAAGGAAGGCCATTATAAGATTAAGCAGTAATTCATCATAGTTAAAGGTTAATGAGAAAGATCATAAATTGTAACTAAACATTTGTATATTAAAATCTTGCTCTAAACCACAGGAGTCTTTTAAACATGTTACTCTGACTACAAATTAGTGATTAGCTAATAACTACATTTTGTACTTTTAATTCTGTAATAGAAAAAAGCAGAGTAGAATGGAAACATATTAGGTCATGAGTACAAAAGCCAGGCATTGTCATACACCTACTGGTAGCTATTCAAAAGCCAGGCACACTATTTGAAAAGAAATAAACAGCCTCATGCGTTTCAGCTTTGTAAACCCAAATCTACAAAGGGATAGTACAGATCTCACCTCTTTACACTCCCTGTCTTCCCTACTCCACAAAACGTAATGTCTTAGAAGTCAATCCGTAGGTGGGGTTGTACCCCACCCTCCACAGGCACCCTTGTTCACACCTATTCTTTCCCAGGTCCCTCATGTCTAACTTCTCTCCTGAATATAGGCTTATTTCCTCTACTTTAGGCTTTCACTCAAACCAAAGGGCCTCCAAGATTTCTCTCCATCCCCACCTATACACAGGTAATTTTTTTTTAAGGCAATTGGGGTTAAGTGACTTGCCCAGGGTCACACAGCTAGTAAGTGTCAAGTCTTTGGTTTGAGGCTGGATTTGAACTCAGGTCCTCCTGACTTCAGGGCCGGTGCTCTATCCACTGCGCCACCTAGCTGCCTCACACAGGCAATCTTTCTGAATGATGCATCCCATTCCTCATCAACTCACAAGCTACACAGCATGATTACAATTCTCTTACTCCTGTCTCATTTTTGTCCCAGACTTTTGTCCCAGCCCCGAGATTCTATCATTCTTGGTAAGGCAGACAATCCCTTGGTGGGGTAACAATCAGGTAGGCTCTCTCTGGCCCTCAGCTTTTTAGGTTGAGAATATCAATAGATCCAATTCATAACAGCTGACAATGAGGCAACAAAGAGTATAGAAACCTAACAGGAAGTAAAGCAACACAAAGGTTGGACTGAAATGAATAGACTCATGCAAAGTTGCATAAAGTAAATAGTCAAAACTTCTTGGCTATAGCTGTATCCATTACACAATTCCTTCGGGTAGAGAAGTAGAGGTGGCAAAGGTGTGGTATAGGGCAGGAGGAGAGCAGCTGTGTGGGCAGCAGAGCCAGAACAACTTCTCTCTAGCTATTGCCACTACTTTAGGCTTTAACTTTGAGCTATATCTTGCAGCATCAGGGACTTCTCTATGCTGGTGATCTGATTTCCAATTTTCCCCACATTCTTTAAGAGTTTATTAGAGATTAATCATGATGTTTGTTTCTGCAGCTGATTCACATTCATAAACTTTTATTTTCTAAAGAATCTAGTACCTAGGAAGGCATCAATTAGTCTATCTATAGTTGGGGGAAAGGAATGTGGTTGGAGGGACTCATTTGAGTTGCTTAGGTTGCTAGGGAAGTTGACCACTGAATGAGAAAGTGGCCACAGCTCAAGTTAACTATCAGGAGTATAGCACCTCTTATCTCTTTATGGGAATACCTAGGGAAGAAGATAGAACTCTCTCATGGAAACTATTTTTTCTGTGTATTCATTGGTGATAAAGTTTTGGGGACTGATTGATTGGCAATGGGAAATATACCAAGCAAGATAAGAAGGATTGGAGGTACTGCACATGGAGTCCTGAAAAAAGGAGAGTTGGAGAATAAGAATTTGTTCATCTTTCTCCAGGACTATTCAGGGGAGAAGATGCTCTAATTCTGGATGATTGCTTTTGATTATTTGGAAAGAAATAAAAATAGAATGGAGAAAAGTCATTATGGGTTGGACTAGAAGAGCCTCTATGAGCTTCTATGAATTCATCAGGCGAGCACAGCTTGAAATAAATCTCTCTGTCTCTAGCTTGTTTTTTTCTTCATTCACTATATATAGCTCCTCATGCTCCAGTGATCAATACACAAACACCTAACTCAGCTACTGGGACGTCAGTCAAGGTGTGCTGGAGTCTATTCTCTGACGACACTGTAGAAAGCTACCAGCTATCTTATAAACCTGTCAGTGATGGTGCACAAAGTGAGGAGCGGAAAGGTATGGTTTCAAGAGCAACACTTTTATAGAGCAGACTATACGCTATGCTCAGAGTTATATTTACCAAAATAAGTGTGATGATCGTGCATAGGATGGATCGAAGGGCATGGGGTTGGGGTGGATGAAATGGTACAGGTCCTACCTACATGACTTCTGAGATCCGTGATCCTAAGAGACATCAGTTAGGAAACTCTGCCCCCAAATTTGCTAGTGTCTTTTTTCTTGAAATATAATACTGCACTTATAATCAGAAAGACTTGCATTTTAATCCTGCCTCAGACTCTTACTAACAGTGTCACCCTGAGCAAGTCACTTAACTTCTGTCTCTCTCAGTTTCCTCATCTATAAAATGGGGATAATAATAGTAGAGCAACAAATTATGAGTTGTTGTGAGTATCAAATGAGATAATATTTGTAAAGTGCTTTGCAAACTTTAAAATACCATACAAATGCTAGCTATTCATTATTATTATATGTTTGCTAAATGAATAGTAAGTGCTTGATATATGATTTTTGGATGAATGGAGAGTTGATTAAATGAGTGACTGTACATCCTTAGCAAGACTGGAGGAGGAGGAGATGGTATGTTATTTCACCTAGCTCGTGGTTGGGAGTGGGGTTGATCGAGAGTGGGGCTAGAATAGAGAAAAGCTTCTTGTTTGAAGATTGCTTAGCTTTCAGGTGTCCCATTCAGAGACTAAGCAGGCAGCACAGCTGATCTGAAAACAAAACAGTTCTTCTGGTCTAAGGGAGGCTGATCAGACTTCTGGGTAGCATAGGGCATTGAATGTGGAATCAGGAAGACCTCAGATTGAATCCTGCCTCACATACGAGTTAGCTGTGTGAGCCTGGACAAATCACTTGACCTTTGTTAGCCATAGTTTCCTTGTCTGTAAATGGGGATCATAGCAGCTACTTCCCAAGGCCAATGTGAGGATCAAATGTAAAACACTAAAGCACCATATAAATGCCAGTTATTATTATTATTATTATTATTATTATTATTATTATCTGGGAATTACCCTATTCTTAAAGGCTAGAGAAGCAATTTGGCATTACTTTAGAATAGGCAGTAAGCCCCCACCCCCACCCTCAAGAAGTCATTCAAACTTTATAAATTAATTTTTCAAAGCAAGTAATCCTACCTCTACTTTCTTTCAGCTGCTGATGTCCCAGTAAGGAGAGGGGGAAGGGATAGGCCTAAGCTAATAAAGAAACGAAATGTCACAGGTCAAAATACTGAATTTTAAATTAATATTATTGTTGTTTAGTTGTTTTCAGTTATTTCTGACTCTTCATGACTCCATTTGGAATTTTCTTGGCAGAGGTACTGGAGTGGTTTGCTATTTCCTTCTCCATCTCATTTTACAGATGGGGAAACTGAGGCAAGCAGAGTTAAGTGACTTATCCAGGGTCACACAGCTAGTAAGTGTCTGAGGCTGGATTTGAACTCATGTTTTCCTGATTCCAATATAATCAGTTTTCTTTGTAATTCTATGTATTTTATACATCTAAAAACATTATTTTGAGAAGGGATCCATGGTTTTACCAGATTGCCAAAAGGATATATGACACAAAATAAGTTAAGAATCCCTGCTCTTGAGGATACAAATGAAGATAAGCCATTTCCCCTACCCTTGGGGAATGTAGAGTTTAGTTGAAAAAATAAGCTATAAATACATGAAAAATTAAATAACCATGATTTAAATGCCAATGTCATAAGGCCATCCATGATTAATTGCTAAAGTAGTCATACAGTTAGCAAGTGCAAAAGATAGAGAAATGATGTCAGCTGTAGTAGTCCAGTGCCTTTTTATATTTCTATTTTGTATTCTAATTTGTAAATATGTATTCAACATAAAAATTATGTCCAAATGCAACCCCCCAACTCAAAATATAATTGGGAAGAAGGTATTTAATTTCCCCATGTAATCAGGTTACTGACACTGAGAAGCTCTGAACACAGGCTGCAGAAGAGCATACAAAAGCCATTGGTTAAGAAATGTTGCTGCTCTTTCTATGACTTTGGAATTGCCATAGGGACAGCTTCCTATTTAACTTTATTCTTGCTAACTAGGTGATAAGCTCAGTTGTTGTTCTCAGCTGTTGAAGGAGGGAAAAAGGGAAGAGTTATTAACCCCCCTAAATTGTAGCGCCCTGGAACAAAGCCATGATCACCTGCTCTAGTTAGATTTCTGTATTGGTTAGGCACTTCTAGAAGTATAGTACTTTCACTAGCCACAACCTGAGCATGTAGTTCTAATATCTTTTGAAAAAGGGCCTCCTCAAAATATAAAATGCCTGATGGTCTTAGCTGAGGAGAATAAACAAAGTTGGGGGAAATAAAACCTTTTTCATGAGTTTAGTTTATAGAGAATCATAGACATAGAAGTGGAAGGGACCTTAGACATTATCTAGTATAACCTTTTAATTTTTGTAAATGGAGAAACTGAGGCCTAGAGGGGTTAAAGTACTTGCCCAGGGTTACACAGGGAGCAGCCGCAGAGCTGAGTTCTCCTCTCACTGTACTAATCTACTGCCCCAGATAAAGATCTGAAATATGACAGATGTCTTTTAAAAATGGAATTTCATTTAAAAAATGAACATGGTACCAGGGACATTGATGCTGATTGCTGAGATTGGAGAACTAAGAAAGAAGAGAAGAAAAAGATCTAGAAATGTTTGGTACCATTTATGCCTAATTACCACAAGGCAGTTGTGATTATTCCTTTCCTTAAATGAGTCAGATTAACTCGGTTCTGAATCTGATTTGATTATGACGTTGAACTGTTCTGTACACTCAGCCCTTGGAATGTGCTCCTGAGGATTGTCTTCTCACAACTTTAAAAATTAGAGGGAACATTGGTTCCAGTGACACAAAGCTTTTCACAAACTTAATTGCCTGAGGTAGAAATAGCACAAGGGGCACAGCATGATGTCAGAAAAATGAAATTCGAGTACAAAAATATCACCAAATGCGAACTGAATTAATAAATAATTAGAAAACATAAGATATGTGTCTTGGAGTCTTGGGGGAGAAAGGGAAGGGAATGTCAAAGGAGGAAGGGACTGACTCATTTGGATGGATTGTAAACTCTTTGAGGTCAGGCATGGTTTAGTTTTTATCATTTTATCCCTAGTACCTAGCACTGTACCTGGAAGATCAAAGGAGATGATAGATGTACTGCAAACCTTAAAGAGATGTACACATGCTCACTATTATTATTACACAGTAGATGCTAAAATCAATATTTGTTGATTTTGATTGATTGAAAGGTTTGGAGTCTTAGGCTGGACATTGGAAACCTACCAGGTCTTGGAAAACTCTAGTGATGATGAGACATTTGTGCTGGTGCCCCAAAGAGCATTCTAGATCTTGTCTTGTCCATTGGAGGAGGGACTGTTTGAAAGGAGACTGACTAAGACCCAGCACTTTTGACTCATTTCTCAGTGTAAATCACTGATAACAGGTCTATTCTTATTTTTATTGTGGAAAGGATATTAGAATATTAGGTCACTGGGTACCTGCAATAGGGGAAATGGTAGGCTTGAGTTATAGAAGACCAGGGTAAATGATTGATATCAGATTCTTTCCTTATTTGCTGCTGACTCTCAGAGTGGTAGAATATTAGAACCAAAAGAGAACTTAGTCCAATCATCTAATTTTACAGAAGAGGAAATGGAGGGTCAGAGAGGGAAATAAATAACTTACTAGTATCACATAGTCACAAAACTAGAACTTAAGTCTCCTGGATTCCTGGTCCAGTGCTCTTTTCATGAAATTAGGCTAATTTTGATGGAGATTTTGAAGGTAGGATTGAGGTAAGGGAGCATAGGAAGATGGAAAATGAATGAAATCTCAAAAAAGAAAAGCTGAGATACCAAATATAAAGTTAGACTTCACAGTTGCATAAGGGTCAATCTTATGTATTGACGGACAGATAAAAGCTGTATCTAGCCATAGCAGGCAGTGTGGAGTTATAGAGGGCCTGCCCAGACCAGGTAAAACCAAGGTTTATTCTGTAAAATTGAGATTATACACATAGTGTTAGACCATTACTTTTGCAATGGCTACACTCTCCTCCCTTTCCTATCTTGTACCGTTGGTGAACCAACTCTTTACTATCTTCTACCCTGGATTCCTTTGCCCCTTTGTCCTATTACCAATCATGACTTACCAAGCTCCAGTAGAATTACTCCTACTTTCTACCCCCTTCACTCCTATTCAGATACTCTTGGAGCTGGAAGAATTCATGAAACTGTGCCAACTAGTCCCACTACAAATTTGTCTCATCTCACCTGTGTTCTCACTATAGCAAGAAAAATGTTCTCTTCTTTCCTGATGGATTCACTATCCCTTTCTCCACAGTGGCTGTTCCAAACCTTCTCATCTTTCTTCAGGTTTCCCACTATACCTACCCCCCCACCCTCTAAGCCAGGGACCTTCACCAAAAAATTAAGACCATTTGCCATGGGGACCCTCTTCTTCCGCCTTCCTCATCTCAAATAACTTGGACATTTTCTTCTACTATCTCCTCCTTTATTCTAATTTGAGATAAAAAAAAAAGGAATCCTCCTTGTCAAGGCAAAACCTTCTACATGTGCCTTTAATCCTATGTTCTCCTGGCTTCTCCAGCAAATACCCCCAATAATATCCCCACTTTCTCAATTTACATTGCTCTTTGTCTACTGGCTTCTTCTCTGATGCCTACACCTGATGCAAACATGCCCATATTTCCTCTATCTCTAAAAAGGAAAAAAAAAAAAGCTACGCTTGATCTGACTTTTTCTACTACTTGTCATCCTATTTCTTGCTTCCTTTCCATGGTTAAATTCCTTAAGAGTGGTGCCTTTACTTCCTTTCTTCTTCCTGTCTTCTAAAGCCCATGCATTCTGACTTCTGACCTCATTATTCAACTGAAATGCGCTCAATCCTGATCCTGCTTGACTCTTTGCAACATTTTACACCGTTGATCACCTCCTGCATAATCTGTCTTCTCCAGGTTTTTGAGACACTGCTCTCTCCTGGTTCTCCTCCCCTCTGACTGATTCTTCTGTTTTCTTTACTGGTTCTTCCGTGCAATACCCTATAACCATGGGGTCCCCCTTTGTACAGTTTCATGAATTCCTCCAGCTCCAGGAGTATCTGAATAGGAGTGAAGGGGGTAGAAAGTAGAAGTAATTCTACTGGAGCTTGGTAAGTCATGATTGGTAATAGGACAAAGGGGCAAAGGAATCCAGGGTGGAAGACAGTAAAGAGTTGGTTCACCAATGGTACAAGATAGGAAAGGGAGGAGAGTGTAGCCATTGCAAGAGTAATAGTCTAACACTATGTGTATAATCTCAATTTTACAGAATAAACCTTGGTTTTATCTGGTCTGGGCAGGCCCTCTATAACTCCACACTGCCTGCTATGGCTAGATATGGCTTTTATCTGTCCGTCAATATATAAGATTGACTTATGCAACTGTGAAGTTTGACTTTGTGTTTAGCATCTCAGCTTCTCTTTTTTGAGACTGCATTCATTTTCCATATTCCTATGTTCCCCTGCTCCCTTACTTCAATCCTACCTTCAAAATCTCTATCAAAATTAGCCTAAGGGTATCAAATTAATGCTTATTGACTGTAGACTTGTTGACATAGTACCCTGCCTCACAGGGTTGTTCTGGGTCTCCAGTGAGAGAATGTATGTACATCACTTTGCAAACTTGAAAGTGCTTCATCACTATATAAATGTCAGATATCATTATTATTATTATTATTAATTTTGGGAAAAAACCTCAAAACTCTTCCTGATTTTGACCAGGAAAAATCCTCTGGTCTCATGTCTTCTTACATTTTGTATTTAGTTATTTGTGTATGTTTTATATCTTTCCAGAAGTATGTAAACTCCTTGAGGGCAGGATTCTTTTCTTTCTTTTTCTTTCTTTCTTTCTTTCTTTCTTTCTTTCTTTCTTTCTTTCTTT